CGGGTTTAGGTCCAGCCTGGAGTCTAGACTTTTTCCCATGGCTCAGCAGTTTTGCGGTACCTGTTGGGGCGCGAGCTGCACCTGTCCAAATAAAACACTTTCAAAAAACCTTGTGAATGTGAGTGCATGTGAACTCTAAATATCCTTGTTTTCAACTAAAAATGTACGACCCACTCAATAACGCTTTGTTATGCAGCTAATGTGTAACACATGCAGCTGTTCTCGGTGTATGACATACGTCACTGATGATAAAGGAGGCTTCATGTTAAGAATCAGGGGCAAATTTCACGAAAGCCTATGCGTTGTGGCGCAAATGATGAACGTGGAAGTACTGGTCCACCAGTGACGCAGATCGATCGCGAACGCCGAAAACTTGCGGATTAGAGTTCTCGTTTTGCAGCTCTTTCCGGGGACCTATTCCCGATACGTAGAAGATGGCATTCTCTCCGTGTATAAACTACGCAGATGCAAAGCTGCATAAGATATAAATACTTCGCTGCTTTCAGTAATGCCAGGAAATTCCATGTTCATGTCATGTCTGTCGGCTGAAAACGCCTTGTCCGTACAAGGGCGACAGAGATTGCTTTTGGCCAGAAGCCTCGTCCACAACTCGGTTTAAATGCTAGCTACGCCGCAAGGCAACCCGTAAATAAGTTTCACGTCAGAAAGTTGCGTTAAGGTAGCGGCAATGGCAGCAAGATTCGACTCAGTGACTCCGCCGCGTGACATAATGCTTACCTGGTTGTCTTGCTCGTTCGCATGCTCTCTCGCTCTTTTGTCTGGCCTTTCGCCTAGGGCTCATCGCTGTTGGGGATTCCCCAACAAGGGGGTCATATTTGGTCACTAGGAGAGGTGGGTTCTATTTGGGCTGAGAAAAATTTATTTCATGGTTGATCTTTCGTTTCAGGGACGTTGTAAAGGGGACGGGGCGTGCGTTACTTGTTGGGGAGGGGTATATCCCCTCCCAACCAGGGGTAGCTCTATGAGGAGGGAACCAGAGGGGAGTCATGCCCATCCCCTGGAACAAAGGGGGTGGTACAGTGGCTTGACCGAAACCATCATCCAATGATGTGTCCTGCCTTCTCTCAATATCCATATCGCTTCTCGCCCTCTCGCTTGGCACAAATAAGGCCTCAGTTTGACCTTTCCACATACACTGCTGTTTCCAACCCCGCTACCCACGAATTTTTCCGCTGGCTCATCGCGAATTCTGCCTTAAAGAGCACAATCATGATAGCGTACTCATATACATTTTGTACAGACGCTACATAGACGACTGCCTCATCGTCTGCACCACGGAGAAGGAAATGGACTCGTGTTTCAACCTCCTTAATAGCCAAGCTGAGAATATCCGGTTCACAAGGGAGAAGCCTTCTAACAGTTGGCTCCCATTCCTTAATGTGCAGATCCAGCTTGAGCGCGGGTTCTATCGGACCAAATGGTACCGAAAACCCACCAATAAGAACATCTTAGTCCATTTCCGGTCGGCGCATCCACTGGGGACCAAACGGGCTATTCAACGTGAACATGTACAGGACAGCTAAAATGGTCTCGTCAGGTGAGGAAGAAAGAGAAGAGTCCCTGGAGTTAGCGCGGAATATAGCACTATCTAATGGCTATCCCCCAAAAGGCGCATGCCCCCCTGGACCACCCACGAGGAGCCAACCAAAGTTCTGTGACCGGGGGTTGGGATAAGGTACCATTTTGCCTACCTTTTGTAAGTGATGCGATCAGCGCTGCTGTAAGAGGTTCTCTACGCAGGTGTGGTCTCGACAATATGGTTCGGGTGGTCGAGATCCCCCGTGAGCCTCAAGCAGCAACTGATCCGCAACCGCGGATATGATCGCTACTGCCCAACCCCACAGTGTGTTACATGTCCTTCTGGGCGGGAGAGGGGACTGCATGACTTCAGGTGTAATCTACCTGATCGCATGCACGAGCTGTGGGGATGAGTACATCGGGGAGACAGGACGACCCCTGTGCTCCCGGGTGAAGGAACATCTAGACGGTCTTAGGAAATCTAGGCCACAGACCCCCCTGGGTAGCCATCGTGTTCAGTGTCATGGAGGCGTTGAGTTTGAGGTAACTGTCAGGATTTTGATGCGAGAACCCCAGACTTCGGCACGCAAAACTTTGGAAGCGTTTTGGATAAGCGCTAAAAACCCCAAAATGAACAAGAAGGACGAATGCCTAGCCATCACAAACGAGCTCGCCCCGTTTGCTGACCTGTGTGGGCTTCAGTTGCCATCGGCTTCAGGTCGTGGGGTTAGGTCAGCTGAACCCACCCATGGGGAGTCAGTTTAGCGGTGGTCTCGAACAAAAACCTGCCGTACATTCAAGGTGAGTCATGTTGTGGTTGTAACCTATGACAGGTTTCTGGACCCTCTGTGGGGTGAACTTACCTGAGGTTTGAAATGATGTTTCGAGGGATAGTTTCACCCTGATCTTTGATTTTTCCAGGCTCTGACGAAGGCGATAAGGCCGAAACGTAAGCCAAATAAAACTGTTGTATCATCTTGGTTCGGCTACAGTAATATCCTAGACAGAAGCTACTCATATGTTTGTTATGGTACAGTCGTCGGAGCGGTAAGAGGAAGACCAGATGAGTCCGCCTCCGGCTGTCTCGCTCTGCCAATGGTGATCGGCTGGTGATCGATTCAAGAAGAAAACAACCAGTGGTGGAAACGCAGGCTGGGTCGTTCATCCCTCTTGAAACCGACCCGACGCATTTGGATGATATCAATTGTATTTATGTTGTAGAGCAAAGGATAATTATAAATGTGTAGTTATCCCAAGCCAAGATTTCTATCAGCAACGAGAATCCGGGTAAAGTCACGAGGCCAATGAAGTGGGGGTCTTCGTTTTCGCAAATTCTTCCGCATCCCTGTCATGTTCTTGTTTTATCGGAGTTAACTGGGTTACACGTTTCCATCACAACATCCATCAGAAGACAAAATTGTAGGAGATGAACCTGCTAGCGTTTGGCCTAATACGTCCTAAGCTCTGCTAAAATAAGCTGTCTATCACCTATAGCACCTGAAGCACATTTTCAAGAGCTTCTATCACCTTCAGTAGCACTTGAGAGCTGCTGAGCGCAAGCTCAACTGTAATTCGACGTTATCCTGGGATTTGCCTTCAAGCAAATGTCATGGTTGCACGAACATATTTTCAGTAAGGCGAGAAGGCTGCTGCGAAGTGAGCAGCCAGACTTCTTTTGCGACCTACCAGTTCCTGCGTGAGAATCTCATTTGATAATGGTTAGTTTGCAATAAATGCTTTTCTCGCGCATTTTTCCCTATCAGTCGACTATGTGATGGTGAACTGAACCGAATGAACCACCTAGGAGCTGTGTCGTGATGAAGACACATCTCACGAGTAAGACATATTGGTAGCGGTCCCAGATACAAACGACAGGGTGGTAATTCAAAAGGGAAGGAAAAAGCAGAAAGAGAACCGTTTGTGCCCTTGAAAATATTCCCTGCCGATACGAACTTTTACGAGAAGACTGAGAGAGTGGTCCTTGGTTGCTGATCAGACTACATTATACAAGGAGGCACATTATGTAAATGCAGAGCCTTCGAAAGTTGTTCTGACTCCTTCTGATTGGAAGGCTATGAATACTGTGAGCATCCGCGGATGGGAGCTGTCCCACACCCACCTCGAGCTGTGATAAAGACAGGACTCCTAAAAGCAATTGTAAGTGTGAACAAGCAAGTGAGATTGTTCGGAACCGCTGAGTGACCGGACTGGGATATGACTTCA